CACATATACGTATATTGTAATAGCTCAGTGATCGAACAGAGATGGGGTTTTCTTTAGTAACCCTTAAAAGACCTTCCAGAAAGCATTCCCTATTGGCAGATCGTCCATGTATTACATTGAAGTATATGAATAAAATCATAAAACCCTAAATAATTATCACTTTTATCATACAATTATGGAAATATTAGATAAGACCACGTTCGTTTGGCTTTAGAAATGATTTTTGACTGGTGTAATAGGACACGGCAACGCAACACACGGGCGAATAACTGTATTTGACATCAATGTCAATCTATATAGTGCGAACTTACCCAATCGTTAAAGCGTCTACGCGTAATATCCCCGTTCATAAAATGGTCTTCAGATTTCGTCCCCGGGTCCCACGCCAAATACATCTTACCGAAGCGTTCTATAACATTGTAAACAGAAAATTTTTCAGATAAAGCATTTAAATGTTTATTATTAAGGTTTTCAGAAGGAGTTTCAAAGCACACAGAAAGGCTCAGTGTTCTTTCTTTTTTTTCATCGACGATCTGTATTGACAGGCGACATTCGTACAGTGCGTGTTATGTAGGCTACTTACAAATGTGATTTATCCCAGAATTATCCTTCACGAATCTTTAATTTACATGTCTTCGAATTTATTCCCCACGAATGTATAATGATTACTGCAAAAAAAAACTTTTGCAAAATTAATAAGCTGTAAAGTAAGTGTAGAAAATCGTGCCACATGCCTATATAAACAAAAGACAGATGTCAGCATACCATCAATAAATCTTAATTCACATTGTATGTCAAAAATACAAAACTATTTCATTCCAAGTAATATTTTTCACTGTACTGAATGGAGTAAAATTGCATAGCGTACTTTACGTAGTGTTAAAATGATAGAAGTGTCATTTTTATGTTCCCAGTAGCAGCGTGATAAGTCTCCGTTACAGACGTGGAGGGAACTAGGAAAAATCACATGGCCAGCCCGTCCTGAAGAGACTCAAATCCACGACCAGAACGCCCATTGTTAAGGGAACGGAACCGCTTTGCCACTGGTGGACCCTTTGCTAATTGAATATACAGAAATTACGATTTAGATTAAAAGTAGGTGTTTAAGCTTTTTGCCATTTTATAAATTATTAATAATAAAATTTTTAAAAATAAAATCTCGTAACAGAATGACGCCACATAATTTTATTTATTTTGATTAATAATATAAAAGTTATTTTTAGAATAAAACCTCATAACAACCGGGAAAGTTAAGTAACTCGTTGCTGGATTTTTTTAAAAGTGGTTTCTTCGCTTCAATTTTAAAATAGTTTTATGCCTTTAGATACTCGTTCACGCAAGAAAATTCTAACATATATTTCAATTTATTGTATTCGTAAATTATATCATTAGATCGTGTTTAATAGTCTTAAACAACATACATTCTATAATAACAATAAATACGTAAGCCGTTCACAGCCCGGCAAAGTGACTCGTACAACATGGAATTCATATAACACGGAATTATCAACAGTGTTATAGGGGGGTCTACTGTATGTGCATGAAAAGTAATTTCTTTCTAAACTTAAAAAGTATAAAGTAAACTATATTCATTTGTTGGTACAGTGTATTTCCATGTTTAATGTATTATTTACACGTAATTTTGTTTGTTTGCTTGTTGTTTGTAGATGGAATGCGACTCGTGGGCAATCTGCTGTGGGCAATGCGACTCGTGGGCAATCTGCCTCCCAGAAGGACTTTTTTAAAAATTCTTTTTATTATGTGGTCAATAAGAGGGCCTCTTTTAATAAGCCCATTATGGGTTTCCCCAGGCCCGCAATGGAGCGGCCGGGTGGTGAGGGACAGGGGCCTCCCAGGACGACTGTTTATGGGAAAGTAGCCCTTGTTCAGGTGTTACAAACGTGAAGTAAACACGGAAAACTCCACGAAAATTTCTTTGTATAATAATAAACCATCAAGAGGACGAATTTAATTCAAAATACTGTATATATAATTTTAGATTAAACACAAGAATAATTTCAAATTTTCTTATTTTACATTTCTCATACCTAAGGAACACAATTAATTAAACATTATCGGTGTGTTATAAAGAAAAATACACTCCATTAGTGTTTTAATTTTGTAATTTTGCATAGTTCTAAACAAGGAAAAGCTTAAAACTATGCAGAACACAATAACACTGAAAGAATTGCATTTGCATTCCACTAGAATAAAAATGACGTATTAAGAGAACTACAAGTTACATTTTCGCTTGTTGGGCTGCAATTTGAAAAAAAAAAATGTGAACTTATAAATTCCCCCTGTCATCTGTCTATCTGTTTGCCTGTCTTTTCTGAATTTCGAGAACTGACTTACAAGTTAGATAGATAAAAGACGAGACCAGATGTGGATATAAATAGAGACAGGCAGGGCCAGACTAACCCACTTTGGGACCCTAGACAGTTTCTTTTTGCCGGGCCCCTTCTCTCTCCCACAAGAAATCAGACTTATAGCCCGATAANTTCCGTTTTATATGAATTCCATGTTGTACGAGTCAGTTAGATTTTACAAATACGTGTGCCGGACTGTGAACGGCTCATGTATTTGTAAAATCTAAGTGACTCGTACAACATGGAATTCATATAAAACGGAAAAATCAACAGTGTTATATCCCGGCTTCTCCTCCCTCTTATCATTCCTAAGAGTTAAGACAGTCAAGAGCTTAAAAACAACTACCTTATTTACCGTAAAAACAAAGCTTATGATAATAGTATTAATTGGAAGATCAAATGAACTGTTATATATATATATATATATATATACACACACAAACTTCGATATAGCGCATCTTTATAAACCATACGACTAACTTTCTAATTAAGTTATTTAAGTTAAAATCTACATTGAAACTCTTGCAAATCTGTTTTTTCTATACGTTGAAAGTTTTGTTGTTACAATTATAAATAGAGCAGAAAGTCTAGTATTTAAAGTTATTTGCATAAACACTGTAAGTACTCAATACAACAAAAGCAAATGATACGTAAAATAAATAACTTTCCATTATATAAACGACTAGAAAATAATTTATAAAAGAACTCGTATAAGTTAATTTGCATAATATACGCAAGTATATCCATTGTCATTGCCGATTAAAGTGAAAAGTGACACACCATGACACACATCATTTGATAGTGTTTTTTTGTTAAATAAATTACATTAGAATTACTTAATTTAAGAAATAACCTTTATAATTTTTAAATTCATACAATTATAATTAGTAATAATTTATTATAACGAGTGTAGTATAAGAAAATAAAGATTTGCATTAGGTTTATACACCTACCTGTTTGAATCTTTTTATCTTTATCCAATTTTCAATTTTCATCACTCAGTAGTGACGACCTTTAACACACGAGCACACAATTTGCATCGATTTTACTTTATCATTGTTTATACACTTTAATACGTAGTAAATAATACGACGTTTATTTTTCGCATTTAATGTAAAATGGCAATTGTAACCTTAAGGTGCGAAAATAGAAAAAAAAAAAACACACAACATTCCACAAATTATCCTCACACAGTTGATTGCAGACGACGAACTCTTGACGTCACTTCCTCCTATTGACTGATTAAAAGAAAAATACTTTGTTTTTTTTAAAATCTTTATGTCGTAAAAACGATATTTACAAAACTATTCAATCGATAAATAATATATTAATAAATTAAGTTATTTATTATTTATTTTTTGACTGTTAAATTAACCGAGTTTCTTGCATTGTCAGAAAAACAATAGGGAAATTTCCCCATTTGTTCGTGGATTTTATTTCGTATTAGGAAGTTAATAAAGTTTAAGTTAATGGATTCGAATCTTTAAATATTAGTCCAATTGTTTAAGAATTTAATGCATAATACAGAAATATATTTTTAATTTGAAAATTCTATACAGGGAATAATCTTATTTTATGAAGGGTTTTTTTTACCCCTGAAGAGTTTTTCCCTTCGAAAACATTCTCTCTGTAAAAAATGTTTTCCCGTAAAAAAATGAAATTTTTCCCTATAGGGAATTTTCCCCGCAGAGAAAAGTTTTCTGTAAAAAATTTTTCCCTATAACAAATTTCTCTGTAACGAATAGCATTTTCCCTGTAAGAAAATTTCCCTGAAAATCCTTCATCTCTTCAATTATAGAATCTATATTACTTATCAACTACAAATCTTTTTTGAAAGGGTTTTTATTCAATTAACATGTTTATATTTTTATTCCCTAAATAATTAATTATTTAGGGAATAAAAATATAAACATGTTAATTGAATAAAAACCCTTTCAAAAAAGATTTGTAGTTGATAAGTAATATAGATTCTATAATTGAAGAGATGAAGGATTTTCAGGGAAATTTTCTTACAGGGAAAATGCTATTCGTTACAGAGAAATTTGTTATAGGGAAAAATTTTTTACAGAAAACTTTTCTCTGCGGGGAAAATTCCCTATAGGGAAAAATTTCATTTTTTTACGGGAAAACATTTTTTACAGAGAGAATGTTTTCGAAGGGAAAAACTCTTCAGGGGTAAAAAAAACCCTTCATAAAATAAGATTATTCCCTGTATAGAATTTTCAAATTAAAAATATATTTCTGTATTATGCATTAAATTCTTAAACAATTGGACTAATATTTAAAGATTCGAATCCATTAACTTAAACTTTATTAACTTCCTAATACGAAATAAAATCCACGAACAAATGGGGAAATTTCCCTATTGTTTTTCTGACAATGCAAGAAACTCGGTTAATTTAACAGTCAAAAAATAAATAATAAATAACTTAATTTATTAATATATTATTTATCGATTGAATAGTTTTGTAAATATCGTTTTTACGACATAAAGATTTTAAAAAAAACAAAGTATTTTTCTTTTAATCAGTCAATAGGAGGAAGTGACGTCAAGAGTTCGTCGTCTGCAATCAACTGTGTGAGGATAATTTGTGGAATGTTGTGTGTTTTTTTTTTTTCTATTTTCGCACCTTAAGGTTACAATTGCCATTTTACATTAAATGCGAAAAATAAACGTCGTATTATTTACTACGTATTAAAGTGTATAAACAATGATAAAGTAAAATCGATGCAAATTGTGTGCTCGTGTGTTAAAGGTCGTCACTACTGAGTGATGAAAATTGAAAATTGGATAAAGATAAAAAGATTCAAACAGGTAGGTGTATAAACCTAATGCAAATCTTTATTTTCTTATACTACACTCGTTATAATAAATTATTACTAATTATAATTGTATGAATTTAAAAATTATAAAGGTTATTTCTTAAATTAAGTAATTCTAATGTAATTTATTTAACAAAAAAACACTATCAAATGATGTGTGTCATGGTGTGTCACTTTTCACTTTAATCGGCAATGACAATGGATATACTTGCGTATATTATGCAAATTAACTTATACGAGTTCTTTTATAAATTATTTTCTAGTCGTTTATATAATGGAAAGTTATTTATTTTACGTATCATTTGCTTTTGTTGTATTGAGTACTTACAGTGTTTATGCAAATAACTTTAAATACTAGACTTTCTGCTCTATTTATAATTGTAACAACAAAACTTTCAACGTATAGAAAAAACAGATTTGCAAGAGTTTCAATGTAGATTTTAACTTAAATAACTTAATTAGAAAGTTAGTCGTATGGTTTATAAAGATGCGCTATATCGAAGTTTGTGTGTGTATATATATATATATATATATATAACAGTTCATTTGATCTTCCAATTAATACTATTATCATAAGCTTTGTTTTTACGGTAAATAAGGTAGTTGTTTTTAAGCTCTTGACTGTCTTAACTCTTAGGAATGATAAGAGGGAGGAGAAGCCGGNATAGCGTATACGGAATTATGTCCTATTCGTAATTTTTTGAAAGAACTTCAAATTTTATTTTATTTTGCATCTGGCAGCCAGGGCCGGATCATCGCATAGATAAATGAGACATTTGTCTCATTTGTCTATGCGATGATCCGGCCCTGGGGACAGGAGGCCCAGATTAACTATACAAGAACTTCCGATGCAAACCAGAAGACACGTTATTTCAATTCAAAGGAAAATAGAAGGATATTTTATTTATAACATTCTTTCGATGCAGAAAATAATAAATATCACGGGTGGAAAATAATACTTAAATGTGTTATTGTGGCGTGAAAAGTAGAAGTGAGTTCTCCTGTTTCGAATTTCATTCCAAGAAGATTAATCTCAATTTACAACGAATTTTTTGGAACCGGTTAGGTCGCAAAGCAGAAATATATTGTGTATTTGATGTAAAAAAAAACATACATATCGATCGAAAGTACAGTAGATCATTGCTTTATGATTTAACTGGTTGTTAGAAAATCGTCGCAAATTGAGCTTTCTTTCATTCATGTCGTAAATAAAAGTTATGCTCTTTGAAATTATGGTATAGATTCAACAACTCCAACTGAGACAATAAAAAAAAATCCAGCAAAGAGTTGCTTAACTTTCCCGGCAACATCGATCCTCCTAATACACAAACCGCCGTACGAAAAGCACAGGAGTTCAAAGAGGGTGAGCAAAATCGTGCCACACACCCACCCACACGCACGCACGCACGCACGCTCTAACATCAATACATACAGAAAAAAACTCGAATTTGTTTTACATTTCTTGACGTTTCAAGGTGTCCTGAGTCCAAAACTATAAAAATTTAAGGGGGGATTTTTACAGGATCGCCATACTTTCCCTCTGTTATAACAGCCGGGAAAGTAATAGCTGGTATGAATGGCCAATATCAAAAACGACATTTAGCGCTCTTGATATTGGCACTAACAAGTACTGTAAATGGAGTAAGGCGCTAAACTGAAGAAACTCAAACAAGATGACTTACATACAATAATGAAGTGTATATTCGCGATTGAAAGCGATGACCTGCACTCTGTTGTGAGTTTAAAGTACTAATACTGGAGTTATGAAGTTAGTATTGTTATATACCGTTATCGGTGTTTACTTTGTTTATTTCTTGGTCTTTGTAAAATTTGTCAAGGCTTTAGAAAGAACTCGAAGAAACACTAAAATAACCAATTGTATCTGTATATACCACAATGTAGGAGCAAACAAATTTACTTAGGTTACACTTGATTTCGACAAAACATATGTCAAATGAGAATACTGTATTTGTAGAGCTATTGATGAAAATATGTTACTATGTTACTAGACATAACTCGTTTAATATTTATATACTGCACATAATATTTTAGTATATAATTATATTCTTAGTTATCTTTAATTTGATACTATGTTTAATTAAATCTGTTAGTGACATCAAGTGTACTTACATTGTTTCTTTGCACCGTCTCACAAAAGATTCCAAGTTACATAATTAATGGTTGAATATTATAAAATTTGAACAGGAATAATCTAAGAATTTGTCTATTCATTTTGAAATTCTATTGGTTTATGAAACCAATAAAATATAGACCTATAACTTACTACAGTAGACTCTCCTATAACGCTGTAGATAATTCCGTTTTATATGAATTCCATGTTGTACGAGTCACTTAGATTTTACAAATACATGAGCCGTTCACAGTCCGGCACACGTATTTGTAAAATCTAACTGACTCGTACAACATGGAATTCATATAAAACGAAAAAAGTAGTAGTAGACTGTAGTCGTGATCACAAGCTTTTATACGGCCCCCAAGCTTGAATTTGTGTAAGAAAACTTTCATTACAAAGCCTAGAAAACCAGCTGTAATTTCAACTGTATAAAAGGAGAGAGAAGAAATATGATAAACCGTCAGTTGTGTACAATCTAAGGCCCGTAATTGATTTCCGTGGCCATCTTTTCTCTAAATATCTTAGGATATTCTGATATTCTACAGGTTGGTTTATTGGGTACTTGTTATGTGGAATATTTCCATACAAAATGAAAAGATGAACATGAAACACGAACTGTACGATATTTTATTTCACGACGAAGCAGCGACGATGTGCTTTACATTAAATTTGTTCAAATGTGACTATGCAATCACTAGGTATTGCACAAATTAAGTGTTCAATGCCGAGTGAGTCACCTTGCGCCCTTCACGAAATCCGAAACTGAATTAGTGAAGGAAATTTACTGATCAGCATTGTTAAATTATAGCGTAGTAAATAAGACATCTAATAGATTTAACGTGGCAAAAAGATTTAAGGAACGTAATATTTATTTTTATTAAATTGATAACGCCCAAAACAGGAAATATCTCTGTGTTTCAAGATATTTCATAGAGTTGTCCAAAAATATTTCTCACATCATTTATTCCTGATTTTAGATGCAGTCAGTTGTTAGCCTATTGTTTCTTATAAAATATGTAAATTTTACAAAACCGGCCCCAACAGCGAAATAGTTTCAAAGTTATATTCTGTGTTTTCGCGCTTTATATGAACTCATACTTTTTCTCAAGAAGATTCAGCGACTTGCCATACTTCTCATCATTCACTGGCTCTAATCTTTAGTGATTTTACTCAGGAAAGTACGGTAAGAATCTATGTCCACCCCGCTCTTTCCCTGCAAATTTTACACGATAAAAGAGAAAGCGTAATGCAACAACTCATAAGTACAGTAGACCCCCTCTATAACACTGTAGATAATTCCGCGTTATGTGAATTTCATGTTGTACGAGTCACTTTTATAAATACGTGTGCCGGGCTGTGAATGACTCACGTATTTATAAAATCTAAGTGACTCGTACAACATGGAATTCACATAACACGGAATTATCTACAGTGTTATAGGGGGGTCTACTGTATTGGAAGAATTGAAGACTAGCATATGGCAAGAAAACTCTCTCATTACAGTTGCGGAATTGAAGGGTGNTTATAGCGTAGTAAATAAGACATCTAATAGATTTAACGTGGCAAAAAGATTTAAGGAACGTAATATTTATTTTTATTAAATTGATAACGCCCAAAACAGGAAATATCTCTGTGTTTCAAGATATTTCATAGAGTTGTCCAAAAATATTTCTCACATCATTTATTCCTGATTTTAGATGCAGTCAGTTGTTAGCCTATTGTTTCTTATAAAATATGTAAATTTTACAAAACCGGCCCCAACAGCGAAATAGTTTCAAAGTTATATTCTGTGTTTTCGCGCTTTATATGAACTCATACTTTTTCTCAAGAAGATTCAGCGACTTGCCATACTTCTCATCATTCACTGGCTCTAATCTTTAGTGATTTTACTCAGGAAAGTACGGTAAGAATCTATGTCCACCCCGCTCTTTCCCTGCAAATTTTACACGATAAAAGAGAAAGCGTAATGCAACAACTCATAAGTACAGTAGACCCCCTCTATAACACTGTAGATAATTCCGCGTTATGTGAATTTCATGTTGTACGAGTCACTTTTATAAATACGTGTGCCGGGCTGTGAATGACTCACGTATTTATAAAATCTAAGTGACTCGTACAACATGGAATTCACATAACACGGAATTATCTACAGTGTTATAGGGGGGTCTACTGTATTGGAAGAATTGAAGACTAGCATATGGCAAGAAAACTCTCTCATTACAGTTGCCGAATTGAAGGGTGCTTCCCAGAATGTGCTTGCATCCATACAAGCGGAGATCACTTCCAACACAACTTTGAAATGATAAAAATGCTGATAAACGTTGAAATGTTAAAATTAAGGCCTTTTAATTAAAGTAAACATGTAGTTCAGTATTATATTTTAATGTTAAATAAATAAAAACTAAAATATGAAAATCGGTCTCTACGTATGATTAGCCCTAAAAGATGTTATAAATTTTAAAAAAATTCCTGCAACGAGTTGCTTAACTTTCCCGGAAACATTTGGTAGCGTCATCTGTTATTATATGTTATTTTAAAACTTTTTATATTTTTAACTATTATAAAATGAGAAAAAGCTTAATTTTAAGGGTAGGGATGGGTTTTACAAAAAATTGTAAATGCTAATAACGAGTAAAATCATTATTAAGTCCGATCCTCGCCGCGAGTCGTGTGACTTTAGGAAGCTCCAACTAGTCGCTGAAACTCTTATTAACTAATACGGACAGACCTGATATTTTTTCCCTAAATTTCTCATATTCTGCTAATTTTCCCCTAAATTCGCATCACTGATCCCAAGCTGCCAGATAGTCGTTGCAAAATGTCGCTAAAACTTTGCGCTGAAGTGACCCAAAGCCCAA